CTGTAGAAATTAAAAAAAAAATCCACTAACGGATTAACAATAATATTTGTTTCCATAATTATTTTATTTCCTCTTATAGGAAGCAAAGAGAATAGCTGGTACCATTGCAGCTTGGTCCGCATTTATTAGAGATTAAGGTTTGTGTCCTTAAGCAACGTGGCCCCAAAGGCAGGAATCCATGCACTGAAAAGTTTAAGTGATTAAAGCATTACCAAGGAAAGTGCTTTCCTATAACCGGAGAGGGGCCATTTGCTCTTGGACCTTGGAAGCTATCATCATTTACAGTCATCAGGGGATGCAGAGTTTTTCACACTCCAGACACAAAATTGAAAACATCTAACAGTTTCATTCTCTTCTCACATACTGATCTCAGTGTGTTTTTGTTAAAGGAAGCGTTAAACAACCTGTCAGCACATACACATTGGATTAAGGACCCTTATTATGTGTAGGTGCTCTGGCCAGTACAGGAAGACGTTATTGTAAACTTTGCAGCAAGAGAATAAGTGTAACTTAGCACTTATTGGCTCAAGGAATCAACTTTAGTTCCCTCCCTTAGTGTTTTATACTGCAAACCTGTTGTTTTTAATTTTCTGGGCACTGACAACCCACTGTGCTTAAATAGCAGCTCTTAATCAGAACACAATAATTAGATAGTTAAAGTCTGCATGATACTTGGATATTCAGAGGGGCTGCATTGCACAGAAACAGGTTCACAAGATTCCTTTCTTTCTTTTTCTCCCTTGTCTTTCTCTCTTTCTGATTTATATCATTTCTCTTTAAGTGTTACCATATTAATACATTCTACAGTTCATCTGTATCATTCATCTAGTGCATATTATGTCACACACAAATTTGCACACATATATACAGTTACTATGACACGGTAAGCTTATAATAAAGAATGAAAAATTAGTAAGAGACTGACATAAAATCTTTCAAAAACAGCATATCAATTATTAATAAGTGAAGGAAAGCCCATTTAGTTGGCTGCCCTTTTAATTTTAAGGTAACTTCACCAGTCCACACATTGATGTTCCTCTAAATCTGATTGCAATAGATGTCCACTTGTCCTGCATCACAGGATGAATATCAAGTTTTTAGTGAGAAAAATCCCTTAATAAATGCCAATACTTTCAGGTAAAGTTTTGAAAGAAAAGTTTTTAGAAAATAGTTTATTACTATTGAATATCTCTGCAACTCTACTATGACACTGTTTACCCCTAGATAGCAACCCCTCTCTCTCTCTTTTTTTTTCAAACAATTGTTATGGATTCAATTGTGTCCCCCAAAAAGATTAGTTAAATCTTAGCCCCTGTACTTGTGAATGTTTGGAAGTATTACTTTTCTTTTGTTATGTTAATTAGACCATACCAGAGTAGGGTGGGTCCTAAAACTAATCCCTTTTGAATGGTGTCTTATAAGAAGGAGGACAGACAAGAGACACATACACTGGTAGAACAGACTATGAAAGGACTGTCTACAAGCTAAGGAATGTCAAGGAACACCTGGATCTACAGAGAAGAAGGACCCTACCCTAGAGCAGACACCCTGAATTTATACTTCTAGCCCTCAACACTGTGAGGCAATAAATTTCTGTTCTTTAAAGCCACCTATTTGTGGTATTTTTTTCTTATGGCATCACTAGTTAATTAAGAAAACTTCTAGAAAAAGTAGTTAAAATCACACTGCTGCTTCTCCTGCTTCATTTATTCCTCCTGAAAATATTGCAATTTAGTTACTGTTTTTATTGTTCTCCTGAAATTGCTAGTTGACTTTTTTGTTGCATTGAATGATATTGAATACATACTTCTTTTGGAAACTTTCTCCACCTTTTGTGTTTGTGACAACATTGTTTTGTTCTTGTTTTTCTATTGCCATTCTATTACTTAACCACTTTTGTGGATGTCTCTTCCTTAGCTAAATTCTTGGCCCCAATTCTCAGTCCTCTCTCCCCTCACTCTATACAATCACTCCAACCAATGATTATGGCTTTCACAGCACCTGTACAATGACTCCCACAGTCATATAGTCAGTATCTTGTGTTAACTCAAAGCCCATATTTAAATGTCTTATTCTATGTCACAACATCCTACTAACAGGAATATGATATTCAACAGGAAAGTAATGATACAGTGGAATGATGTATAAGTTTTGGTGCCAAAGGTAGTCATTAAATATTTGAAAATCATCCCAGCTCCAAGGTGACTCAAATGCAAGATGAACCTGCCATCTTTCTCTGTAAATAATCTTCTGTTCCCCATCTTAAGAATGACACCATAAGTTTTCTAGTTAGGTAAGCCAACCTGGTCATTTGAATTCCACTTTTTTCTATCTATCTTCTTACCTATAATTTTTCTCAAGTTCTTAACTTTAACATTTTGATAGTTTTCATTGTCTTTCCCCTACCCTATTTCCACAAGGTCATTTCTTATTTCTTTCTGTTATCTAATTTTACCAGTTCCTGATCTGTAGTCTCAATCCCCTCTAATTCTACATTCTGTTTGCCATCAGAGTGAAAACAACATAATTGTTAATCCCTGTTCAAACTTCTTACATGGCTCCCCAGTCACCAGCATAAAATCTATACTATTTTGTATTTTATGCTCTGGCCCCTGTTCGCCTGCCCAGTCTTAAATCCTCCTATTGCTTGCTTCTTCTAAAGCCACATGTCTCCAAAATAATAAAATACTTTTACTTCTAGCATGTCTCCCACCTTGCTTTCTCCATTACCTAAGCCTATGCAAGTGATAATTCCTCTGCCTGGAAAGACAGCCTACATATTACCTTGTAGACGTTTGCTCATCCCTTAAATTTCTGGTTAAATACAAACTCTTTCACTCCCTCCAAGGAGGCTAGGAGGCTCCATTTCTATTTTTCTATATTGCTTCTGTATAGTATTCATATTTCTATTAAATACCTAACTGTATTAGAAATACTTATGCATCTTTCCATAGAAATATTCCAATAGAATATTAGCTTTTTGAATCTTGAGCACTTGCACAATGTATGCTTACAAAGATTAAGTTCTACTTGAAAACTTACTTTTTACTTGGGAAAATATATACACAGTTATGAAATAAGAAATTAATTAAAATGTAAATAACTAAAGGTTAGTTTATGTAAGTATTTAAAATATTTTTATTCATTCTTTAATTGATACATTCATTTAAAAGATGTTCACTGAGCACTTTCTATACGACAGAAACCGTATTTGATTTGGGGTATAGATAGGTAAACACAGTAGACATATTTTCCACTCTTACAAGCGTATAGGCTGGTTTATCTAGGAAAAAAGTCAATAAAGCACATAAATATCATAGAAAAAGTCACAAAAGTCTGTTTCATAATCAAATATATTGCTAGTGGAGTAAAACTGAATCTGTAATAATTTCTGCATGCTTGTTATTGTGTTAGTTGCCATTGGGTTGGCTCCAACTCACGACAACCTTAAGTATAATAGAATGAAACATTACCTGGTTGCACCATCTTCACAATTTTTGGTATGTTTTAGTCCATTGTTGCATCTACCATGTCAATCCATTTCATGGAGGGTTTCCCTCCTTTTTGCTGACCTTCTGCTTTACCAAGCATGCTGTCCTTTTCTAGAGAGTAGGCTTTCCTGGTGATGTGCCCAAAGTCAGAAGTCATAAATTAAGTGAGAAGAAGTATTCTGATTGCACTTTCTTCAAGATGAATTTGTTTTCTTTTCCAACACCACTATTCAAATGCATCATTTCTCCTTTGATCTTTCTTTTTCATTGTCCAGCTTTCACATGCATGTGAGGCAATTGAAATTACCATGGTTTGGGTTAAGTTTGGGTTAGTTATCAAAGTGACATCTTTCCTTTTAGAACTTTAAAGAGGTCTTTTGCAGCAGATTTTCCCAATGCAATAAATCATTTGATTATTAATTGCTTCTTCCATGGGCATTGATTGTTGATCCAAGTAGAATGAAATCTTTGACAAATTCAGTGTGTTCAGGATTTATCATGATTTTCTTTATTAGTACAGTTGTGAGAATTTTTATTTTCATTAGGTTCAGGGATAATCAATATTTATGGCTGTAGTCTTTGACCTTCTTTAGTAAGTGTTTCAAGTTGTCTGCATACTTACAGATGTAGAATTTTCTTACTTCTTTAAAAGTGCATGTGTCACATTAAATATGCAAGTGACATTTGGTCATTATGTATATTTGCCTTAAAATTATTTATCTTACATATACCAGAGCCGTAGATGTTTATACTACAGTAAGTAGATTTTTACCCAATTTATGTTCCTTGTATGATTTTTCAATAACAGCATTTTTATTTATCTGCAGTAATATGAACATAGTAAGTTCAAATCTGTAAAACATACTTGTAAATATTCTGAGAGAGAGAGATTTATACATGTAAAAAGCTATTGGTACTCTTAACAAACAATCTTAACATTTTAAAGTAACTCTCTGCAATAGCATAAAATGGAGCCAAATAATCAATAGCATTTAAGCCAGCATGCAAGCTATTACCCTAAAATATAGCTTAATAATGAAGAAAATAAGCTAATTACGTAAATGGAAATTTAGAGAGTGGGCTGGCATATGCACAGAAACTCTGTAGAGACGTTCTCAGATTTTAGTAACTCCTTGTGAAGCAGAGACTGAGGATGGTCTCGAATTACATTCTTGAAATATTATCTCGTCAACTTCCTCATGCATCCTTCCGAAATCACTAGCTTAGAGTGAGCAAAACCCACATGCTGAATATTATCAAGAAATATAACCCACATGCTATAGCCATATGATGGAAAAAGAACCTGCTATTGGAGAAATTCTATATATTAAGAGCAGTAATTTTTTAGTATACTTTTGATTAATAGATTAAAAATATACATATTAATTGAATTGCTCAAAATTTCTTTTTGAAACCATGTAAACAAGCCCAGTAACCAGGATACTAATTTTTTTTCTCTTTTCCATAAAATAACATAATTCATGTTTTTAGCAACATCAACAAAAATACCTGGTTTGTCCCATGAAGATCTGGAAATCCACCAACAAAGACAGAACTTGATGCTTGCAGGGATTTTCCAGATTTGTGATTGATAGATTCACTTGCTTTTATAATCTTCCCTAGAAGAGTCACTTCAGCTTTACATGGATCCAATTCTTGCCTACAACCATTTAGGAAAGAAATTTATGGTTTTAGAATGTGTTGTATAAACATTTATCTGACCAGTTAATTAAGCCATTACCAAAGAAGAAAGATTCAAGTAAACAGATTATTGCACCATAAAACCAACAAAGGCAGAAGTGGATTAATTTGTTCTAAATTAGAACCCCCTCAATGTTTTCTATACATAAATATAAAGCTAAATTTTGACAAAATAACACATTGTAACATCAGCTAACCAAATAAATAAACCTAGATAATAAACAGCTCTTTCTAACAGTGACTAAAACTATTTATAGTATAATATTCTCATTTATGAAATTGTTGAATTTTCTCTGCATGAAAAATATTAAAAGGGATCAAGTTAAATGTGGTTATTCAGTGCACAATATATCTTTAATTTAAAAGAGAAATACCACAGAGAGTAATTAGTTGTGAAAGTATAAATCATACAAAAAAGTAAAGCATGTAAAAAATAACAATGAATAAATCAAGTATAATTTAATTAGGAGGTGCAGAATAATCGTTTTTATTTGTCCATTGTTTAGAAAGATGAGATAAACCAAATACTTGAACAATGTCCTAACAGCCAGATATGTATTCCTCAGTTAGTCAATATGTTCATCTAATCATCAAATGGTTGTTAAACTACAGCTCACAGGCCAAATCTTGCCTGCTGCTTGTTTTTGTAAATAAAGATTAATAGGAACACAGCCACACCAATTTGTTTCTATATTTTCTATGCATTTTTTGTTTGTTTTGTTTTTCCTGGCAGTTGAGTAGTTGCAACAGAGACTCTAAGGCCTCAAAAGTAAAAAATATTTGCTACCTGACACTTTACAGAAAAAATTGGCCAACCAATGACCTAATCAGTTTATGGTTGAGATCTCGGCTGCTAACTAAAAGGTCGGCAGCTCGAATCCACCAGTTGCTCCTTGGAAACCCTGTGGGGCAGTTCTACTCTGTCCTATAGTGTCACTATAAGTCGGAATCGACTCAATGGCAACAGGTTTGGTTTGGTTTTGCCAAGCAAGTAAGTAACCTTTAGTAGAATCCTTTCCAAGATGACAGTATGCTTATTATTAAAGACACTCACGTACCATCTACCTATCAATGTCATCCTATAGCATCCATATAGGACATTCTGTCTGATTATGTATACAAACCTTTAGTATAACATACATATTTAGGAGTGCCTTTACCTATCTATAAAATAACATAATGTAAACATACCCATGTAACCACTACCTAAGTAAAGAAGTTACTACTTTTACTGGCCAGAACTCCCATCCTCAACACATATACACACACACGCACACACATTCACAGTATCACAACTTCTCATCGTCATTCAACATTATGTTTTTATATCTATCTGTATTGTTGAATTTAATAGTTTTTTTTGTTTGTTTTTCATTTGCAAGGTACACTGTTGTTTGGATGTTTTACAAATTATTTATTCTAGTGTTGAATGGGAGCCCTGGTGGTGCACTCGTTAAGAGATAGGCTGCTAACCAAAAGGTCGACAGTATGAATCCACCAGCTGCTCCTTGAAAACCCTATGGGACAGTTCTACTCTGTCCTATAAGGTTGTTATGAGTCGGAATCGACTCAACAGCAGTGGGTTTTAGTGTTGAATGACATTTGGATTATTTTAATTTTGGTGCTATTCTCAATAATGCTGCTGTCAACATGCTTGTATATATTTTTTGATGCGTATATGCATGTATTTCTGTTGGGTTTTTAAAAAAAAGATTTAGAGTGTTCTCTATGATCTGGTTATATGCTCTTATTGGTTAAATGTATTGCAAACATTTTATTTTTCCTTTCAGTGGCTTACGTGTTTACTCTTTTAAAGATGTCTTTTAATGATCGAAAGGTATTAATTTTAAAGTACATTGTCATGGACTGAATTGTGGCCCCCCCCAAAACGTGTGTCAACTTGGCTAGGCCATGATTCTCAGTATTGTGTGGTTGTTCTCCATTTTGTGATGGTATAATTATCCTCTATTTTGTGATATGTTGAAAATTCTAACTTCTATATGTTAACGAGGCAGGATCAATGTGGGGTGTAGCTTGAGTCACAGCCTTACAAGAGGATGTGACTCAAATCACACCCTTACTCAAGTCACAATTTACTCAAGTCACACTCTTACTCAAGTTACACCCTTACTCAATTCACACCCTTGTTTGAGTCACATCTTTTATCTTAAAAGAGATAAAAGGAGAGAGATGCCAGCAGAGAGGAAGGAATCTCACTACCACCAAGAAAGAAGATCTAGGAGTAGAGTACATTCTTTGGACTCTGGATCTCTGCACTGAGAACCTTCTAGACCCAGGAGACAGAGAGAGAGAGCTGCAACACCAGAGATGGCGAGAGACACCAAGAAGTAGCAGCTGAGAAACGGTGGCAGCAGAGACAGCAGAACCAGGGGACAGACAGGAGATGGTGCAGTGGGTTTCAAGAAAGCTGAGTGCCTTCAGGCAGGAGGCTTGCTGACAGAGTGGAGTGCCTCTGGGAACTTGGCAGAGTTAGGCTCACCAACCCACTGAGTGACAGAGCTGAGCACCTTCAGGCTGAAGACTTACTGGCAGAGTGGGGTGCCTCTGGGCACTTACCTGTGGAGCTAAACAGCTTTGTAAAACTTGCCTGAGCAGGGCAGAGGCCGGCAAGTCCTGTTCAAGTGGCCCAAGAGCCCCGAGGGGAGGAGAGGCCAAAGGCTGAGAGGCTGGAGAGAGGCCTGCTTGTTTTACTAAAAAAAGATTAATTGGAACACAGTCACACCCATTTGTTTACCTATTATCTAGAAGAAGCTGTCCATATGGGAAACACATGGAGATCTCCAAGGAATGCAGGGCCCACAGATGTTGAAAGGAGACAAGGACCTTCCCCCAGAGTCAACAGAGAGAGAAAGCCTTCTTCTAGAGCTGGCACCCTGAATTTGGGCTTCTAGCCTGCTAAACTGTGAGAGAATAGATTTCTGTTTGTTAAAGCCATTCACTTGTGTTTTGTTACTTCTGTTATAGCAGCACTAAATGACTAGGACATACATCAATTGATCAATTTTTACTTAATGATTTATGGTTTTTTTTGTTGTTCCTGATCTACCCTATTTTTTAAAATATTGTCTTATCATTGACATTTAAATCTACAATGTACCTAGGATTGATTTTATATATATATGTATTATACATACATATATATATAATACATATATATGTATCTATCTGTATAATATATATATGTTGTTGTTGTGAGGTGCCGTCCAGTCAGTTCCAACTCATAGCGACCCTATGTACAACAGAAGGACACACTGCCTGTTCCTGTGCCATCCTCACAGTTGTTGCTATGCTTGAGCCCATTGTTGCAGCCACTGTGTCAGTCCATCTCGTTGAAGGTCATCCTCTTTTTCCCTGACCATCTACTTTACCAAGCATGATGTCCATCTCCGGGACAACATGTCCTGATAACATGTCCAAAGTCTCGCCATCCCTGTATATGCATACGTATATATACACATAAAACAAACAAAAAAACTAAACTCGTTGCCGATGAGTTGATTTTGACTCATAGCGACCCTACAGGACAGAGTAGAACTGCTCCATATGGTTTCCGAGGAGCGCCTGGTGGTTTTGAACTGCTGACCTTTTGGTTAGCAGCTGTAGCTCTTAACCACTATGCCACCAGGGTTTCCATATGCACATATTTATATGTATATATTCCCAGGTATATATCAATTTTCATTTTTTCCTTATAGAAATTTGATTGACTCAGTAACATGAATGGAAAAAGCTGTCCATTCTCCACTGCTCTGCAATATCATTTTTGTCATAAATCATATCCATATACAGGTGGGTCTGTTGCTAGACTATTCTGTTCTATTGGTCAATTTTTCTATCTCTGCGCCAATACATCAGTGTCTTAAGACTAACAGTGAAAATGCAGTATTTAATATCCAGTAGTTCCCCTACTTTGTTCCAAATCACCCCCCTCCCATTGTTTTGCCTGTAGGAGTGTGTGTGTATGTTTGTGTGTGTATGTGTGTGTGTCTGTGCTTGGACTCTATTTTATTGGCCCATGTTTCTACTCTTGCACAAATACTACACTATCTAAAATATCAATGCCTCATAATATGTCTAGACATGGAGCAAAGTAAATCCTTACTTTGTTAAGCTTTTCTATTGAGATTATCATATATAATTTTCTTTTTTTCTCTCTTAATTATGGTAATTCTGTTTACTGCTTCTGGAAAGTTTGAAAGTATTCCTGGAATAAGTATAATTTGGTCATGATAATATGCTTTTTAAAAATATATGTAACACTGAATTCACTTTTTTATGTTTTAAGGGATTTTCACACATACGTTAATGAGAGATTGTCCTTCAAAATCGTTTCTTGTATTTACTCTCGTGAAATTTTGATATTAAGGTTATGCTGTCTTTGTATTCTTTTTAAAAGTTTGTGTAAAATTGTCGCTACATTTATCTTTCATATGTGATAGAACTCATTATTACTGGGTCTGGAGTTTTCTTTGAGGAGAGGTATGAAATACATATTCAATTTATTTTATAGATATAGGCTATTGTGTATTCTTATGTCCATTTTGTTAAATTGTGTTTTTCTAGAAATTTTTCCACTGAATCTAAATTTTCAAAGTTATTGACATACTTTTTCATAATTTCTTTTTATTATATTTTTACTAGTATTGGAACTCTAATGATGTCTCTTTTGTGATAGTAGTTATTTGTACTTTTTTCTCGTATATATGTATGTATATTTACTTTGTAGGTTAATCTTGACAGGGAGTAGTAAACTTCAAAGAACGTTTGGCATTGTTGATAGTCTCTGTTCTCTATTCGTTTCCCCCTCCAACCACTTTTGACCTTAACTTTATGATTTTCTTCCTTCAACTTGTTTTAGGCTTAATTTACTCTTCTGTTTCTAGCTTTTTAAAATCTAATACATGCTCTTGAGATTGTAAATTACCATAAATTTAGTTG